TAATAAATGAAAACCATTTTAGTCAAATGTCACATTCTCATTGAATTTGACACATGTTAATTTTTAAGATTTTTTGATTTATTGTTTTTTCTACTTGTCATTTTATGGTTTTTTCTATTTTATTGAATTTTACATAATCTTTAAATAAAATAATTGTAATAGATATAATAATAAAAGCATATCAATTTAACTAATGCAAGTTTCATTTTAGTTTCTAAATTTAATCCAATTATTTCATTTGTTTATTTATTTATTATATTATTTGTTTAAATTTAAAATAGAAATAAAAAAATAAGTTGAACATTACATTTTAGTAATTCAATATTTTTTTATTATTTATTTCATTTGTTTATTTATTTATTATATTATTTGTTTAAATTTAAAAGAGAAATAAAAAAAATAAGTTGAACATTACATTTTAGTAATTCAATATTTTTTTTTCTTTCTTTATAAATTCAAACTTCCTAAATTTATAAATATTTATATATTTTTTAATAAATCCGTGTAATATACAGGTTTCACAACTAGTGTGTATATATATATATATATATACACATATTAAATCAGTTGTTTTGTAATGTTGTGGCCATATTTTTGTTTTTTAATATTAATAATGAATTTTGTGAAATTTATAACGGTGTGATTATTTTCAATTTAATTATTATATATATATTAAAGTTGTGGACGAAAGGAACAGTGAAATTGGCATACTTTGTCCAGGTTTAGTCCCTTGATTTACATATCCGGTCCCTGTATTTTTGTTATATTTTGGTCCTCCAAATTATGTTGCTTGCTTCTGCCATTCAAGGTCCCTACATTTTGCTGTATTTGTCACTTTATTACATCTATGTTCTTTCCGTTCTTAGTTATTGTTAAAGATATACTACCATCCAGGACCTTCTACATCCTATTTCTTTTTTCTGCTTCACCCCGCTCTTCCTCATCCGTTCTCTGTTGATATCGCCACAGACAAGGACTCACCGAATCCACCTCTTCATCCCTTCTTTCTATTGATTTCTTCACCGAATCGGCCATGTGGGCGTGCCGATGTGGAGCCGATGCAGGGCAGCTCAGTCGACGGAGCTTCTGATATACCTCCGTCTGTAATCTTTTGGAACCGACGTTTGTTGCAGGTTACACCACCTCTAAGCCCAATATTGCGAGCCTTTGAGGAACACCATGGTGGTTCGTTTACGCTCTCGAATAAGAAGTGAAAACCCTAATCGCTTCACCTGTTGTCGTTTCTTACTGTTAGCAAGATGATTTCACACCTCTAATGATCTCTGCTAGAGTCGGACACAACAATGTGGAAAAAGCTCTTCTTGACACAGCTGCTCCATCGAATGTCGTTTCTCCTCCCAACCTACTCTGTAAAAGGTCAACTTCTTTCTTCTTCCAGAATAATGTGATACAAGAGATTGTTTGGATTGCATTTTCTATCTCCGGCTTCTTCTTTTTTATCAGAAGGTTCATTGTTATTAATTTCTAGGGTTTCAACAGATTCCTCAACACTAATTTCAATCTTTCTTGCTGCCTTCCTACTTCTTTCAATTTTCGAATCTAACAGATAAAACTTTGCGAATTTGTGTCTGGAGTTGCCGATTTGGGTTGACATCCAACCTCACAATCTCTATTTCCACGCCCTTTTAAGCAACACTGCAGGAAAACGTATCATATATCAAGATAAGTTCTTATACTCATACGTCATCACTCTATTTGAAACTAAAAGGATAAAAAATCTGTTTTAAAATCTGAAACATCATGTTCTCTTGAGAAATAAGCAATCAAATGCAGCGTTTGTCTAAAGTTATAATTTCGCACCCCAGGTGTTTGATGGAATGTCACGGAGAAAAAGGCAAATTCCTTCAAACCAAATTTAAAAAGCCTCAACAAATGTTGAAATCGGTCAGCTGATGCTGAAGCAGGTATGTGTGTGGATAATTAGGTCTTATAAAATTGAATTTATAATTTTTAGAGCTTCATATACTGATTTCGATAACTTTCACTGCGTATTGGTTTTGGATTATGTTTGGGTGTTTCTTTACTAACCAGCTATGTTTATCGAGCGTATGCAAATTTCGTATGAGAAATTGAAGGGGAAGGAGAAAACCAGGAGAATAAGGAAGGGTATTATGGTAGTATGTCATCAATCTTCAACAATGGTAAATATTTCTTTGGGTTCTTAGTAATATATCTGACTTTCATTTCATGGCAACATGCAGCCTCCATAGATACATATGTGTTGTTCCCCATCCTGAAGGAAAAGCTGAATGTTATAATATAAATGGTAATACAGTCGGATCTGAATCCCATGAATATATGAAAGTGGGTAAGTTTTTTCTTATCTAAATTTCAATAGAATCATGGCTTCATCCTATTTATGCAAATCATATTTACACTAATAGTTGACATTAAAACTAATCAACTTCATGTTTCTTCCATAAAATTTATGGTCAAACTAATACATCCCTCACAGTGTTTACAGTCAAAGGGAGTGGGGGTGGGTGGGGTGGGTTCGATAGGGGGCACATATTTTTTATCATGTTTATCAATTCTTTCTTCCACTTCAAAGTAGCCCACTTTCTGCTAAAAGATCAAATAGCATGAACATAATCAGGCTCTGTAACTTCCACTAGATAACCCAATGACTAAAAATGTTAACAAACAGCAAGAAAGTGACAAAAAAATCCTATTACACCAACTCCTTTATACCCACAAATTTGAAGACCATTGATTCAAATTTGTAGCGATTTGAAGTCAAACAGGTATGTTTCTTTTTGAATTTCAGGTTATCATTTAAGTTTTTGGATATCTCACGTTCCACTAATTTTGAGTTGGCTTGATTTTTTACTTCTTCGTATCTCAACTTCCATTTTTTGTTTTGTGTTGTCTGTTTCTTCTGATCTTCATTTCAAATTGTTTATAATGAATCAGGTAGTGCACCTATCGTCTTGAGTTTGAGTAGTAAAAAAAAAAAGAATGGCTGAAAGAAAGGTGTTGAACAAATACTACCCCCCCTATTTTGATCCGGCGCTGCCATACATGGCAATAAAGTTCAATTTGTGAGACCATTTCTTTATTTTCCTCACTTATTGCAAGAAATAATGATTTAGATTTCTTTACTTATGTAATTAGATGACATTGTTTATCTTCCTTTACTAGATTATCTCAATGCAATTCAACATGCTACTTTACTTTACAAAGCAATACCTTCCGACCCCGTCAACGCCGGGGAATCTTTTCTAGTTTTTATTATATTTATGACTTTGGGGGTCTATTTTTTACTTTTCGCATTGGGCTCATTATATGCGTGGACCAACCCTGGATCAAATCACTAAAAGACTTTAAGTTTCATGCAATTGTTACCAAAAATGTCCAATATTCCTCATATGCTCGGGAATATAAAAACATCTAATCTTTTATTAGACTTGTTTTGATTCATTTGAAACAAATTAAGTGTTTGTCACTAACTTAAAATCATAAAACATTTATGATATTCGAAATTTGACTAACAAGAATGATATGAACCCTAATTTCATTGATCAAGTGAAAAGAGCACAAATCAAACATGTAATGAAACCAAATCAAAGATTACTAGATAAAGAACATAAAATTAAGTTCACATAACAATCCAAACAACAAATATTTAAAATCTAGAACCGGAAATGAGATGAAAAGTTAGCCACACATGACTAACTTAGAACACAAATCCAACTAGTCTAAATCATAATTAGACTTAATAATCCAAAGAAAATGTGTTTCCAAAGCACCTAATGATGATAAGTTCTCCCTAATTGCCCTCTTGAAGTGTAAGTTTGAAGTTGTGTTCAAAATGACTAGAAATCTCTTTTTAGTCGGAAGTTGAAAAACCAAAAAATTGTCAAAATCTTGTTCCACGCCCGCGTAATGAACTTGACTTGAGAAATCACGGTCATAGAATGAAATTTTGTGTTGTTGAGAACCTCATTAAACGACAATGGAATGACCAGTGTAATCATTCCACGACCATGGAATCTTCTGCGAAGTGTCTAACTTCAAAAAAAAAAAAATTTCTTTAATCTTGCTCCAACAATTCTGGAAATTTGTAGAGAGCGTCCCTTGATCACCCTAAGCATGCCCAAACTCTCGAATGCCCCTGAAAATGATGGGGTTTTATAGGTTACAAAATCGATGTATATGCGAAAAAATCACTTCACACTCAAGGGTACCTGCAACCTATTGGATCTATGTATTTTAACAACTAATAGCAACATACTTATGAAAACTAAAGAAACCCTAGATGTAATTAAAATCACTAGTTGAAATTACATACCTTTTATATTTCACTAGTAAACAATATAGTTAAATCCCTTGTTGATATTCAGAAAGCTATCACCAAAAATATGGATGCCTTTAATGGCTTGCACCCAAACCCTAGAAACTAGAACACTATTTGAGAAAAGGAGGGAGAAGAATTTCGATCAATGCTTCCAAAAGAATGGAGGGATCAAATTTCCCACCCTAAGGGGTTTATTTATACTTGTCCGGTAACTAGGATAAACTCCAATTTGAATTCAAAAAAATATTAGTTCGATGAAAATCAAGTGGTTATCCTTATCAATACCTGAAGGCTTACAGAAGCTCCCAAATGAGCCTCCACCACCTTCCAAGCAAGGAAGGATCTTGAATACTTCATTATCTCAACTATTAAGCAATTACAGATCAACCCTTGTACCCCTAATTAATTCTAATTGACCCAAAAATAATTCCAAAATAATTCTGATCATTTCTAAATCAATTTAATCAATTTCTAATTAATTTAATAATCACCGTAAATTAATAAATGATTTCCTCTTTCTCATGATGTCATTGTAACTATTTCCAGTTATGAGGGCAACCCAATAAGGACTTTGCTTTTAAGTGCAAGAATACACCAATTTAGTTATGAGCTTAGACACCTTGATCCAACAGTCTCCCACTTGGATAAGTCTATAACTACAATTGCAAGTATAACCTTGAACCAAACATCAAAGTGTGTTTCCTAAATCCACTCCTGAACTCTGATTCATATCATACATAAGTGTGCTTTCTAAATCCACTACCAAACTCTGATTCATATCACACGTTGTCCCTAAGATAAGTAATCAACTATCCTTCTCTTTTCATGATATCGTATGGACACGAGACATGGATTATAATCAATCTCATTGTCTAAGATTTTGTTTTCTAATTTCCCAATTTTTGATGACGTCATTAGACTACTAATTAAACACATCAATTTAGTCATGGTTGGGCCTAACATTACAATGTCAAAATCAAATTATCAATGGGTCCAAAGATATCGCTTTTCTTGTGAAAGTAAAAGGAAAGAATAACTTTGACTACGTAATCATACATTTTACTTACCAAATCATGCATGGAATTACTCCTTATAACATCCAATAGTAGAGATTATCATCTTAAAACTACCCGTGATAAAATCCATGAAGTAATTTTAAGCACGAGTTTATCTAATACCTAAATCCCTATTTCAAGTACTTATGAGTATAGTGGCAATCACCATGCCATGTTCAACTACTATGAACAATATACTAATTGAAGCGCCCGAGTCACCAGGGATGAAATTAATCTATTATTCTATTTAATTTAATTAAAAGGTGGCAAAGGGTTGGTGATTATGTTGGGCATGCATTAGGTACACACAGCGTACTCCTTGCATGCGCGTCATCGGGGTGATCCCGATATATGCTGGGCGTACCCATGCGTACGCTGGGTGTACTTAAGCCAGGGACAAACCCTAATTTTTAGGGTTTACACCCTATTTTAGATCCTTAAGTTCTTCAATTGCATCACCCTTTCAGCTTCCATTGCCTTTTAGTGCTAATCTCGAACCCCTAGCCATCTTGAGTGCATTTTGAGCTTACATAGAGTGTTTGAGTGTTCTTTTATGGTTTTGAAGAAGAATGAAGCTTGAGGAGAAGCAAATGCGAAGAAGGAGCTTGTAGATCCAGAGTTTGTGCATCATTTCTAGCCGATTGAAGGTATAAAGTCTGAAACTTGTTCATTCTAAGCTTAGATCTAGGTTTAGGGAAGATTTTAGCATTTTTTGGTCCCATAACTTGGTCCTTTGGAGTATGGGCTACTCCAGGCCATTTGAATTTTCCTTTTGGACTCTTGGGAGTGCATGAAGTCATAAAAATCGTATCTTGAAGGTTAAGACTCAACCATGCATGTGTTGGTGACCACCTTAGAGAGTTAGAGGGTTTAATTCATGGTTTAAGTCCAAATAAGGCATGAAAGAGCATAAAGTTTGCAACTTTATGGCTTAAGACACTTTTTTGAGCTTGGATCTAAGTTTTGGACGTTAGAGCTTCATGGATTAATTCATGGGATCAATTATAGGCTGACCAACCAGTACGCCGGACGTACTCTAGAGTACGTTGCGCGTACTGGGTCAGTACCCCGATTCCGGATCATCAGCGTATGCTGGGCGTACGAGCCATGTACGTCATGCATACGTAGTCTGTGGACTTAGGAGATTTTTGGGCTCGAGTCTTGTTGGGATTTTGACTTGTTTAGGATTGGGCCTTAGGCCCACCTGTTGTAGCAAGACATTTTTGGGATTTAGGTCATGTTGGGTGCTCTTGGGCCATATTGGGCCTTAAATGCCTTGTAGTTGGGCTTGGATTCCTTTTTGGACTAGTATGGATTTGGGCCTTGGTGGGAGGGAGGCCCAATGAGGCAAGGGTGAAAAAACCCTTTTTGCCTTAAGTCAAGAATCAGGGTTTGGACTTTCGGGTTAGAATATTGGCCTAATTTCTAATTAGGGTTTTATACTTGCGCCTTAGGGAGAGGAGTTCACGAGTCATCCGTTGAGTGCGATTTAATACCTTCAGTTTGAGGTGAGTTTCCTTCATTGTATATGTGGGTCGAAGGCACCAATGTCTGCCAACTACTTTATGTTGTAGTATGATGGTTTACTTTGTGACAACGATCGGTTATGCATGTTTTTGCTTGATGACTCTGTGATTCTTTGTTATGATATTATATGGAAGTGGTAGGGGTGAAATAGACCTGATATCCAGTTAAAATAGACCGAAGAGGATTGCAAGCACCCAAATATGCTTGATAGTATCCGATAGAAATAGACGAAGGGGATTGCAAGCACCCAAATATGCTTGGATATATGTTTGTATGGTATGGAGTATTTTGGGGGAACTCACTAAGATTTGTGCTTACAGTTTTTATTTTATGTTTCAGGTACTTCCAGTTCGAAGGGGAAGGGCCTGACCTGATCACACCGCATCACCCTACGGTTTTTAAATTTTGAGATTTTGGGAATTTATACTCTGATAACATGTTTCCATGATACACTTTTGACTGTTTTGATATGAGTATCGTATGTTTTGAATTAATTTAAAACCAAAAATTTTGTCTGTATTTTTGGGATGTTACACTAATGCTCCATGAGAGTCTTAATTCACTACTTACTTCCAAAAGTATGACCGATTGTGGAATGTGAATAATAGAATTATTGAGGTAGTAAACATGTAAAGTGAAACACGATAATAAATAATTGAAGAAGACAGTACACAAACACATAAATAAATCTCTATTATTTAATCAACAAAAAGTTACAATTTATTTTGTTACAAAGTTTAAAGTTATCAACTAATCACTAAAACTAATATCATCTCTTAATCCAATACTCCTAGCATGCTCCATGTACGTGACCTTGATCAGTGCCTTAGTAAAAGGATCAGCAAGATTTTCCTCTGATGATACTCGTTTCAACAAAAAATCCACATCTTCAACTCTATGTTGGATATAATTGTACTTTCTCTCGATGCACTTAGTCCTTCCATGATCCTTCCGTTCTTTAGTCAAAGCAACCACTCCTTCGTGTTCACAAAATAATTCCATTAGTTCTTTAATAGTCGGAACGACTCCAAGATCCCCAATGAAATTCTTCAACCAAGCTGCTTCATTCGATGCTTCGCTTGCTGCGATGTACTCTGATTCACAGGTAGAATCAACCACTGTTTCTGCTTGGAACTCTTCTAAATTAGCTCTCTACCATTCAACAAGAATACACATCCAGATTGAGAACAAAAGTTGTCTATATATGTTTGAAATATGTAACATCCCGTGTCCTGCCATTTCTATGCCTGTTGGAAAGAGTGTCCAAGGTCATTAACTATTGGTAATATTTCTAATAATAACAAGGTCCTTTTG